CTCGAGTCAGAATTGAGACGGAATTCTCGCAGCGCGCCGCTAGAATTCACACCCCACCCGCCCCCATTCAGCGTGCCTGCCTGCGCCGTCCGCCGGCCCATGAATCACGCGCGCTCCTCCAGCGCCGCCCTGCCCTCCTTAGCTCATGGTTCTCCCATATACCGGCGCTGGTTCACACGCCGACGGTCGGAATGCGCCGCCGCCGGCCGCCGCGGCCACCTTCCATTATCCCGGCTGGATGGTATCGGCTGTGTTTTGGTGGCCGACCCCTCCGCGGCGGCCACGGCGGCGGCGCGGCCCCACAAACACGCCCGCCTGTTTGTCGGGTGGCCCGTGCGCGGGGGGCGGGGGCGCCGACGCCTCCAGAGGGGATTTCGGAATCACTCGGCGCGCTCAGCTGTTCGCCGTCGCTTCCGGGCTGGCCGGCCGTGCTGTTGACGCCTCGAGGTCGAGCGGCGGCAAACACGGCGCAGCGGCGGCGGACACGACGCAGCGGCGGTCGACACGGCGCAGCGGCGGTCGACACGGCGCATGGGACGCGGCCCGCGGGGCGTGCTCGGCCCGCGCCACGTGACGCGGCGGCGCGACACGTGCGGCGCCGTGCGACAGCTCCCTCGTGACCGCCGGACTGGCACGGCTGCAGGCCCGGACGGCGCGACAAAAAGCCAAGTGCCAAAAGGCCAAAAAAGCCAAGCTTGGCCAAAAAGCTTGGCCAAAAAGCCAAGCGCGGCCGGCGGCGCTCAGGCGTGGCTGCCCCCGTCCGCCCCGCCTGGCGCCGCCCCTGCGGTCCCGTGCGGGGTGGTGTGTGTTGACCGACAGGCGGGCCCGCGCGTGGGAAGGTGGCACGGACAGCATGCTCACGTTCCCCCTCCCCTCCGTCGCTCGCCCCGTACCCACCTGGCCCGTACCCCCGCTGCCCCCCGCCGGAGAGGGTGTGTCCCTGCGGTGAGCAAGGGGCCTACGAACACTGGCTACGTGTCACAATCTGGTCGCCAACGGATATTAATGCATGTATGCGTTGGGATGAGCTACGGCGAGTTTCAGCAGCAGCTGTTAATCGCTACTTGCTTCCTGCTATTCACTACTGGTATAGCCTATGGTACAGGGAGATGCATTGTAAGTCGCTGATGCGTGATCCGGTTGTGAAATCAAACGACAGTTACAACCAGCTGACGTGCATCTGTAATGCATCGCTGACGCACTTTTGCCAACTGCACCAATGTATATGAGGCAGGCCACAGGTGTTCGTTCGCCCGCGGGCTGGCCCAGAAACGGCATCAGTTTAGCAAACAGAGAGCGTCAGGCGACGGCCAGGGCCGCGTCTGTTCCCGAGGCTCAAACAGACGGGGTCTGGCTGACCGCGGCCCCCTCCCGCGGCGCCTCCCGGACCGGACCGGTCACCAGACCGGCCGCCGGACCGGCACGCGACCGGTGACCAGCCCTGGCGGACCGGTCCGCGCCACCGGGTGTGAAATCGGATCACAATTACAACGCCGGGCGGCGTTTTTGTGCGTTTTGCGACGGTGAGGCCGTTTTTAGGCGGCTAAGTGGGGCCAAGGCTGCGCTGCTGACGCCGCTCAATGCGTTCTTGTTGTCGCGTCGTTTGTCGCGGCGCCGGCGGCCGTCCGGCGCCGTCGCCCCGACCCGCGGGTCGCAGGGTCGGCCACCTCGGCGCCGGTGGGCTCGGGTCATCACGGCGCCCGCTGTCGTCACGAACTCGTCACGCCCGCGTCACGGCGCTCGGGGCGGGGCGGCTCGGGGCAGGGAAACAATCCACGGCACCGGCCGCTGCGCGCATTGAAGGCGCTTTGAGTCACGACTCGCCGCTCGTAAACTCTCAAAGTGCGCTGGGGTGGGCTATCGTTCGGGAACAGAGCTTCGTTGCTGGGTCCGGTAGTGAAAATTGAGCCGGAATGCGGCAGTTACAGTCATGACCTTGGCTTGCATGAAACCGGCCGACATCTTGGCTCCGAGTATTAACGGTGCAGAACTCCTGCAAGGCTCTATGTAATAGAGTCATGAAATCGAGCGTTTGGATCGGGCACATGCGTTAAACGTCTGTTCTATCTATGCTTAGCAAAGTTATCAGGCAATGATGATCCCAGCAACATTTCATATCTATAATTCATCCTTGAGTTTCCCCTTCGGTCTTATAACTCCTTGTCAAAACATTCAGGTGCCATGACAGACATTGCGACCTTCCCATTCTGTTTGCCGTAATATGCCGGAAAATGCGGGGTGCAGGCAGGATTCGAACCTCAGGGCGGTGGAACCACGACAGTGCCTGGCCATGAAGCCACAGCTGACTCTTGCCGTCCTCTCGGCGCTGCTCGAGCGGCGGGGGCGGGGGCGGGGGCGGGGCGGAGATCTGACCGATGCTACGCTGGGAGCGCGGTCTCCCGGAGTTTCAATTAGCGGCGGCGCGTCCGTGGCGCCCTCCAGCGGCCGGCGGCGGCGGGACGGCGGGCACGTGATGACGCCGCCCGAGAACGTGATGACTCGTTAATCAGGGCCAGGTGGCAGCACCGGCGAGGTGGCTTTCTCCCCGATCGTCGCCGGGGTGCACCCGGCGCGCGCCGAATGCGCGCTCACGCGTGCGCGAGCGCGCATCCGTACGCTCGGCCTGCGACTCTATTTCCGCCTCTGCCAGTGCAAATTCGCTACCGTGCTGCTGCTGCTGACGGTATCTTTTACAGACTCGCGCAGCCAACGTGCACCCACACTTCGCCGCATTTTTTGCGAGCCGTGCGGCGCCTGGCTGAGCGCCGCTAACACTGTCGTAAACGAACGACTGTGCTGCAGACGCACCCAAATCTACCACACCTGGGCGTGAATTAATGGTGGAGTGCAAATTGGCCGCAGCTGCGCGTTTTCCCCCATTGTGTCGGGCGACGCGGCGCAGATGGTGTCGTCTCCGGCCAGGGCGGGTCGGCCGCTGCAGCTGGACGCGGCTGCTGCCGACGCCTGCCATTGGTGGGGTCAGCGGGGGCATGACCCATCAGGCGACTCCTGTGCGGGTCGAGAGGGCACCTGCTCCACCCATGCCCGCTGGCTGCGACGGCGTACAGTCCTGGTGTTTAGACACTTGGTGAGGGGCCTCGCGAGATCCACAGCTCAAGAGCAACTAGCCTCTTGTTTTTGTACCTCCACAGCACCTGTGTCTGACAAGAAGTGAATGCGGCGGCGTTTGGTAACATTTTGTCGACCACTGCTGCCTACTATGCATTGTAAATATGAAACACGGAATCCCCATTTACGCGATGTGGATGAGAGGGTTCGCTAGTGAAAGTCACAGCTGAAAGCATGCAAATGTGTAAAACGTGTCGCAGATCTTCCGCGTGCTGCGTCTGACCGTGCGGTACACCGCACACAAGGCCACATGTTTACTCGACTCTACGAGCGACAACAGTACCGCTGACGGCGCCAACAACGCTGCGAGCGACCCGACACCTCGCGGGAAGTCGGTCCTCCGATCGCCAGTGATGCCGGCGCGCGCGTGCTGCCGGCCACGATCTCATCGTCTGGGGCGAGCGCGGCCATTCGCCTGCAGCCGAGACCTCGGCGCTGTCGCCTGTCAGCTGCCGTCAGATGCGGGCGGTGCCGGGTGCAGGGCGAGCGTGTGACGGCGGACCCAGTGACCGGGTCCCGCGCTGCAGGGACAGCCGGTCCCGCCTCGTGAGGAGGGCGACCCGCTGACGCCGTGGACTGTTCTCAACGGCCCCTCCGAAGCAGCCCCTCCGCTGGGGACGTTCGGTGCGCCGCGGGGTGTGGCGAGCGGCGGCGACCCCGCCGCCGGCCCGGCCTGGGCCTAGTCGCCGCCGGTCTGCTGGGGCTGAAGCCGCGGAGTGGGCGCAACCCTCCGCACGCAAGCCTCTCTCCGGCGGCGGTCGTGGTGATGGACGAGGTGCTCGGCACACACTGTTGACGTATGGGCTCCGTGTGATGTGCGGGATGGAGATGCTCATCTGTTGTTCGAGCGCGGTCGCGAGCCAGCTCGACTTTCCCCGACAGCAGGCTGGGAGAGACGCTGAGAACACGTGCTGCCCGGTGGACGGTTCGTCTTACGCTGGCTCCCCTGGGGAGGGGCAGGGGTGCACCGCATGCAATCGTCAGTGAGCCGCAGAGGCGTGGTGTGTCTATCTAGCAGCGGTCTGTGAGGGGACCATAACGCAATGAGAACCATCACGCCCCGAGATAAGCCTGCGAACGGGTGGAGCGGCCGGGCCTCCGCTTTCGTGAGGTTTTGGTTACACCTGGGGTGACGCACGGAAAGAAGCTGCTATCAAGGGGTTTCTTCCACCCAAATTTCGAAACGCTCTTAGGCCTTCAAAGCGAACATTCGGGAGGAATTTTACGAGCAGCGGACCTTTGACACTCAGTTTTAGCATTATATGGGTGCTGCCTTGTAAGGTCTGGCTTTTAGATGAACACTTTTGATTGTTTTTTTCTTTTTTAATGGGTTTTTGACTGTGTACCAGTCTGTATCCCTCAAACTGCATCTAAATTGTCTTCGTTTTCTGCGCTGCCTTTGAAACGAATAAAATGCAAGCACGGAAGTATGATTCACTAACTTCCCTTGAACATCTTTTTAGCACTGTTCACAGCTGACCAAAGGGCCGCATCATGATTTGTTGAACCGACTCGCAGGTTCAGTCCGCATTTCGTGAGGACTTTTGTCCTCACGAAGCGGATTAGAACGCAAACGACATGCGCATTTTGTGCCACGGACAGTTAACTAGTGAATAAGCTATTAATTTGCCATCCATGTCGGGGAGATAACTCAGAACATTTTGCAGGGCAGTCCATGCCGACATGTGGTATTCGGCCAGACACCGGCCCACATCGACTACAAGAAGCGGCGGGCTAGGCTGGGCCGCCCTTTGTCCGTCCGACAGGCGATTAAGCGGTCGCGAGCGGCGTAATTCATGTCCACCATTCGTCTGCGTCATTTGACGACCGGGCGGGTCGCGTTTTTAGCGGCACTTGTCTGTCTTTGGCAGGCTGCTGGTGGGAGCTCCGCTAGGGAAGAACCTGCAGCCACAGACGGAGAGGAGCGGCGCCTTGTGGAAGTGCCCGCTGACCACCCTCAGCAGCGACTGTGTCCAGGTCGCCACGGATGGCCGGCGGGGTAAGTGGAGACGCCGGTGGCGCTGCCGGACGCGTCGCGCGTGTGGCTCTGTGCGTCACGCTCCTCTTTCGCCAGGCGCGGCGGCGGCGCGCGTGGAGTCATCTGAATCGTCGCTGGGTCGTTTCCAAACGGTTTGTTCCACAGAGGCTGAACATAGCTCGCAGAGGACATCCGACTAATAGCTTTTGGGCTGCGGGTACACCTGCCCCCCCCCCCCCCCCCCGACACGGTCCTAGCGTACTGAGACAGCCAACGCGACTCTTCGAACGATCCATTAGCACCGAGAAAGCACCCCTCATGGATCGACTCTGGCCCGGTTCGCAAAACACGGCCGACTGTTGGCCTGGCCTGTCAAGACGCGCCTTCTTTCTCCTGACGTCACCTCCCCAAGCTCCTCAGATCTCGGGGTCAGACCGCCCCCGCGTCTGCCCCCCCCCCCCCCCCCGGCCGCCCGACGCCGAGCCAAGGGCGGCCGGCCGCCCCGTAAGGAGTGGTGGCCCTGACGCGACCTGTGACGTCACCCGAGCTCTCGGCGGCGACCGCCGCTGAGGCGGTGCGCGCTGCCAAAACGGCGCACGCAAATACCGTCTGAGTCACCGCCACGACGTCGGTGTCGGTGCGCCCTGTCTGGAGTCTGGTGCCGTGTCTGTAACAGGACCGGTGTCCTGTCTGTTAGCGTGACTCGTAACTGTCTGGAGACTGGTGCCCTGTCTGTAACAGGACCTGTGCCCTGTCCGTTGGCATGACTTGTGCCGTGTCTGGAGACTGCGCTGTGTCTGTAGCAGGAATTTCATATTTGTGGCAGATGTATTACCGTGTCCGTAACAGAACCGATGCCCTTTGTGTGCCAGAACTGGTGTTTGCCTGCTACATATTCAGTGTCGTGTACCAAAACTTTTGTTGATGCCATGTTAATAATAGAACCTGTGTCTTGCCTACACATGATCGAATCTCTTTCTGGAACGCGTTTGTGTAACGGACTTGGCGTCGTGCTTGCTATATACTCGGCATGATGTCTATAACGGGGTGGGTGGCCTGTCCGTAACATGACCTGTGACGTGTCTGCAAACTGCTGCCGTGTCTGTAGGACCGTGTCTGTTGTGTTAGGACTGGTACCGTGTCTACCATGTCAGGACTGGTACCGTGTCTACAGTGTCAGGACTGGTACCGTGTCTACCGTGTCAGGACTGGTACCGTGTCTGTTATGTCAGGACTGTTACCGTGTCTGTTGTGTCAGGACCGTTACCGTGTCTGTTGTGGCAGGACTGGTACCGTGTCTACCGTGTCAGGACTGGTACCGTGTCTGCAACAGGATTGGTGCCGTGTCTGGAGACTTGTGCCGATTCTGTAGCGGGACAAATAATGTTATAATACGTACGCGCAACGGAATCAGTGCCGTGCCTGTAACGTGTCCGACGGGCCTGGTGTCGTGTCTGTAACATATTTAACATGCGGTGTGTATAATGACAGACATCCTATTTGTTATTGTCATGCTGTGCCGTGTCATTGTTGAGACTGTCAGGACACCACTGGTGACGCGGACGCCCTCCAGACATTGTAGCTGACTGCTGGCCAACCAGCTGACAGGAGAGCTGTCTGTCAGCTGACTCCTGGACAGTCATCCGACCGCAGCACTGTCTTGTCACCTGACTGCAACACAGCCCGTCATCTGTGAGGAGGGCACTGTCGTTAGCTGACTGGAGGACGGTCTAGTCCGTTGCCACGATGGTGCCGGCGGGGGTAAGAGAGGCCCGTGTCTGTGGGAGAGGGGGAGGGGGAGAGGGCCGCCTCGGCGGTGGCCCGGGACCCGGCCTCCTGAATGGCAGCGCTGTCGATCTGCTGCCAGCCGCCGTTGGCTGTCACTCGGTCGCTGGCGGCCGGCGGGCGCCGATCTGGCGTCGGGATCACTATTTCTGACCTGACGCCCCCGAAAAAAACGCGGCTTGTCGGCAGTGTCGGCTCGCTCTATTTCGGAGCGGCCTTGGGTCGGGTAGAGTTGGTAGGCTTAGCTGATCTTTCCCTTTCATCTCGTAGATGTTGGCTCTCTCTCACCGCTCGCCTCACCTCCGTGCTGTTGTGCCTGGTGCTATGTCGTAGTCTGTGTCCGACCATGCTTGGGACGTCGAATGCTGTTAGAGTTCCGGGTGCTTGAGTAATGCGTACTAAAGCGCAGCAGCCGAAAGCCTGGTGGGAATCGATGCACTCCTGTGCTTTCTGTGTCCTCTGTAACACATTTAATGTTGGGCTATCTATTGCGCGTCTAGTCTGTTGCTTTCATGGCTTTCATCTGTTCTCAGTCTGGCTGTCTCTTTCCCTGGTGTCGGACTTTCTCCGAGTCTGTGTAAATACCGCTCTTCCATCGGCCGGCGACCGTCGCGTCGCGCCAGTCTAACCCGCCACCCGTACTCTTATTTCAGATCCTGTCACCGAACGGTATCGTAAGTGCGCGAGGCATGGCGGAGAGGCGGGTCTTGTGACCGGTGCACTGACGTGGCTGCATGTGCGGGTGGCATTGAGCGCGCTTCAGCCAGGCTGGCATCCCCGCCGCCCCTGCAGCTGGCCTCAGTCAGGCGCGGCGGACGGCGGGAGCGGGCCGCCACGCTGACCGCAGGCGGACCACGACCGCGACTGCATGTGCTTCCCCGAGTTGTTCGGGTAACACGCCCTGTCCGGCCCGGACAGGACGATGGCTCGCGCGAGGCCGGGCACGCTGACTCGGCGGATGCCGCCGCCGTCTGTTTTTGCGCCGATCCGTCGCCCGTCGGGCAGGGAGGCGTCCTGACGCCTTCTCGCGTGACGTCATTAGAATGGTGGCGAATTAGGAGGCGAATATTATTGTTTCTTTTCACGCCGTGATTACAGGCTTGAGAAGTTGATGGGCACGCACCAGCACAGAGGTAGCGAGCCGAGCGCGGTCACTAAGAGAAAAAACTAATCGGGAACATGGCCTAAGTACCTTCAAATTACCGAAGGCATGCCGTAAATTCTGGCGCGACCGAAAGCAGCCAATTTGGCCGCGTGGCAGCGTCGCCGGCGGCCGGCGAGATTGGCGCGGATGCGTGAGATCCTCCGACGCCGGCGATAAAACAAACGCGCCGGTTCCGCCGCCGACGCGCCGACATTCCCAGGCAGCGGGCAATGACAGGCCAATTTACCGAGATGCATGCCAGCGCGCGGCCAATTTCGGCCCAGGCCTGGTCGCGTGTCGGTCCGAGGCAAGCGATGCGCCGTTGCTCGCGCTGCTTAGAGATGTAAAGTTTCGGTATCTGACCTTGCCCGTTGACCGAGAGTGTACCCACAGGAACTTTGTCGCGAAACGTAAGTCCTCCTGCGTTGTCGGTGGGACTTGAAGGGATCATCAGTTATCAGTTAGCGCTGAGAGTGTGTCACAGCCGCACCAAAACACGGGCTCCCGAGACCCCAGTATCGTAACCAGGCCCTCTGCCGCGTGACGTACAGACACCTGGTTTCCTGTGGCCAAATAACGTCATTGTCCCGGGACGTGGTTCGGTTCAGCGCACAGCCAATCTGACACGAGGCCCGCAATCTCCGGAATGGAGGTGCCCGTGCGGAGCCAGATGCGGCCGGTGCCTGCCGGCCGCCTGGTGGGACAGACAACCTACCGGGGCGGGTTGGCCGCGGCGGGTATGTCAAATATTGACTCCTGATGGACGCCCAATGGCCGGGGTGGTCGGCAACCAGCGCCAGACACCGTGCAGGGGGTGGTCAGAAGAAAGAAGTGCTATGTCCCAGAGGTTGCCTGAGGAGGCCACAGTGGTGCAGATAATGAATGGGTTGAGGGCTACAGCGGTAAAAGGAATGTGTATGCCGATGAGGGGTGCCTTGGGGCATGGAAGATAGGCGGGGACATAGGCCGGTCAGGATAGACACAGGAGGATGAATGTCCGGGGATGAGGGAGGCTGAAGACATTGGGGTGTAAGAGGACAGAGGGCGTGCTGGGGTCCGGGTCCCAGGCGATAATCCGAGCAGGAGACGCCTACATTTGTGCAAAGGAGTGGCAAAGTGGCAAAGGGGTCCATTTCCTAAGAAGTGGCAAAAGGGTTCATTTCCTTGGAGATAAGCTAAGAGTGAAGCTGGAGAGAGCTGCGAGGAAATAAGCTGAGAGAGGGTTAAGTGGTTTAAAGAAGAAGGTTAGGATGCAGTGGTAAGCCTTGTGGGAAGATAAAGATAGTGGACAATTCTGAACTATGCATTTAAGGTCACCGGTATGAGCTAGAGGGGAAAGTTGCCCAGAGAGGAGATGAATTTCTGGGAGACGGATAAACACGGCGAATCCTTGAGGACAGGCGTACTTTTGAGGCCCAGGTGGGTTAAACAACAGTCGTAGCTCTGCAGCATGGACAAAACACATGACGAAGGCTTGACGTCATAAAGGCAGTCATTCGGGGAAACACTCCACCATCATCGCTTGTGAGCGCGGACAGTGGCGGTCGTCGGCTGGGGCGGCCTGCGACGCACGTGAGGCGGCGGCAACATGGCGAGATGCGCGCATCACAATCGCCGCACCCCCGACGACCGCCGCCGGTCGGTGCCGACCGGAGACCGGTCGACACGGCGAGCCGGTAATGCCCTCGGGGAATGCGGCGCCTCGTCTCGACGGCCGACGATCCGCGGCGGCGCGGAGCCGGCGCGCCGGCGGCGCCCGGCATGGCTTGTCACGCGCCGACACGCATAAACTCAGCCGTGAACAGACCCAATCGACGATGCGCTCGCGAACGCCAAGCCTAATGTGCACCACTCACGCCGCAACAATGCACGGTAATTGCACGACGTGCTCACTCAATTACGGCTGACCAGCGTGCACGTGATGCCATCACTCCAATTTTTATGCACGAATAGGAACCGGCGGCACCGCGCGGGAGGTCCTGCTGTGCGTGCCGGCGCACGTAGCAGAGCCATCTGTCGTCGCGTTTGGAAGCTGCGCCCGGGCCCACCTACGCGTCTCGGACGCGGGCCCGCGGCGGAATCGTGCGCTGATGTCAGTATGCATATGGCCTTGCGCGCAGCTGGGCCCGGCTCATTGTGGGCTCACAAACACCGACCGCGACTGTGGGCGGTCGCCCACCCGCCCGTCCGCCACTCGCACGCTAAACACGTGCAACATTGCAGCTGCATGCGAGGGCGGCGCGTCGGGCGCCAGCAGCTTGCAACATGGCGCCGGTGGCATGGTTTGACAGGCGGTGCATGCCTGCCGCCGCCGCGGGGTGTTGTGCTAACCCCCATCTGCCGGGCGAGCGTTCGGCGCGGGTGGGGCTGGGGGAGGGGGGGGGGCATGGCGGGCAGGCTGGGTGCCGGCACCGGTCCAGTTCAGTTGATGTGTCTCGCGGTCTCACGTACTCCCAGTGGCTTACATGTTCGTCACGCTCGTACATGCCACCTGCCGGTCTATGTGACTGAGTGTGCTCCCCCCCCCCCCCCCTCCAGCCCAATCCGTGCGTGCGCCTGTCAGTGACGTCAGAAGGGCGAAGCCGACTCCGCCTGGGATGGCTCACGGGAAGGAGCTCTGAACTGACCCCGGATCTGAGTCATGTGTTTAGGCGGACGTGTTATAAGTATGCAACGCCTGGAACCGCCTCCGGGCCAATGTTTCTTTTATGGCACCAGCTGTCACAGCGTCGCTTTATGAATTACCACGCCGTATGCACTTGACATCGAAGCATTCGAGGTGTTATATTTACTAATACCAGCGACGCGCATGAGTCAAGTGAGGAAGACCTCAAACTGCAACCGCACGACGTCCCGGCGTCGACGGCTCTTCCTTTTAAAATCCCCGAAGCGCGCGGTCACGTGTCAGCTTTCTACCCCCCCCCCCCCCCCCTCCCCCTCCCCGCGCCGGGCCGATGTTACCACGGCCGGCCGCACCGCCGCGGCGCCGTCGCACGCTTTGAACGCGGCTACTCGCCTTGTACACCATTCGTCACACCCCCTCACACCTGCGAAAACTCCGCGGCGGGATATCAAAGAGGCCCTGTTCTCTGTTCTAATGGTGCTCGGTTCAACAGCGGCTCGGCTGCTGACTTCCGCGATTTATCTGGCGAAGCACCGCCGGCAGGTGCATGGGGTGAGCCGGGCGGCGCCTGAGGTGAGGCAGTGACCGCCGTGCGGCCCCTGGGGCTGGCGGAAGACGGGGAATGGGACGGCGCTGGGTGTAGTGGATTTGCGGTGCGGCTAGGTTGGGACGGTGTCGGGTGCATAGGCTCAGCATTGTGTCTGAACTGATGCAGCGGTTGGTTTGAACTGGGACAGCAGTGGGTCTGAACTGAGACAGCAGTAGGTCTGAACTGCTACAGTGGTGGTTCTGGATTGGGACAGCAGTGGGTCTGGACTGAGACAGCAGTTGGTCTGAACTGAGACAGCAGTAGGGCTGAACTGAGACAGCAGTGGGTCTGAACTGAGACAGCAGTGGGTCTGAACTGAGACAGCGGTGGGTCTGAACTGGGACGGCACTGGGTGGATGGGGGCTGGTGGTAGGACGGAGGTGGGAATACCGAGTTGTGTGCGACTGGCAGGGAGACTGGTGGGACAACGCTCGGTACATGGGGCCAGCAGTAGGTCGTGGGTGAGACAGCGCCCGGTGTGTGGGGTTGGCACTGGATCTGGGATGACTCAGTGTCCGCTGTACGGGGCCGGGAGCAGGTCTGGGACAATGCCAGGTGTTTGGGGCTGGCTCAGACAAGTCTCCGAAGGGACATTACGGGGTCAGCAGCGACCCACACAAGGTCTGAGATGGTAGATCACTGAGACATTGTGCCTAAGAGGGGAGGGGAGGGGACTGCCCGGTGGTGTGTGAGGCTGGCAGCAGGTCTGGCACGGTGCCAGGTGACCGGCGATGGCGGTATGTGCGAGCTGAGACGATACCCTGCATACGGTGGTGTAAGGTCAGAAGGAGCGGGGGTCCGGTTCAGAACAGGCGGTAGGTAGAACCGTGGCCAATGCCGAATGTACGACATCTTTAGCGAGTCGTTCAAGTTGGGACAGTGCCTGGCACGTGTGGTGGGTGGTGGGTATGGCGTGGGTCGCTGCCCACCGTAAGGGTCAACACGGCGCCTGACGCCGACCATAGCCACCGGCCGCCGCTACAGCCTCCCGCTCCGCTGATGCAGCCCAGCGGCGCGCCGTGTCAACAGCGGCAGCGCGCCCGCACGCATACCAAGTGCGGCCGGGCCGTGCTCGCGCCAGCGGCTGTCGTGCTGTGCGCGGCCGCTCCTGCCGTTCATGTCGCGGCGCTCAGGCCGCTGCATCGCCCGCCGCTGTCCAGCGTCTCTGCCGGGCTCCGCACGGCGCCTGCGTCCGGCGGCCGGACTCGGGAGGCTCAGGGTGGCGCCCTGACCCCACACGGCGCCTGCGTCCGGCGGCGGACTCGGGAGGCTCAGGGTGGCGCCCTGACCCCACACGGCGCCTGCGTCCGGCGGCCGGACTCGGGAGGCTCAGGGTGGCGCCCTGACCCTACACGGTGCCTGCGTCCGGCGGCGGACTCGGGAGGCTCAGGACGACACCCTGACCCCACACGGCGCCTGCGTCCGGCGGCGGACTCGGGAGGCTCAGGGTGGCGCCCTGACCCTACACGGCGCCTGCGTCCGGCGGCCGGACTCGGGAGGCTCAGGGTGGCGCCCTGACCCTACACGGCGCCTGCGTCCGGCGGCCGGACTCGGGAGGCTCAGGGTGGCGCCCTGACCCCACACAGCGCCTGTGTCCGGCGGTGGACTCGGGAGGCTCAGGGTGGCGCCCTGGCCCCGCTGTCGTGATGGGCTGGTCGCGGGTAGTCCAATCACACAGCTCGCCCTCGCCGCCATCTGCTCCCGTTGCAGCCGTCGGGGCAATCAGTGGCCAGTCTGGCTGGTGCATTAGCGCTGTTGTCTGACCTCAGTTGACCGCGGCCCCGCAGTGCAGTTGCACTATAATCTGATGCCGCCGGCGGCGTCGTGAGCTGCTGCAGCTCTCCTGGCTGACAGCGGCCTGGCCCCAGCTGACGCAGTCAGTTGGGGCCAGGGCTCAGGGCAGCTGACTGTTGACACAGTCAGCTGCCCTGGGTCGGGCCCTTTACTCCACATACGTCGTTGACCCAAGACTTTCTATCGTGGCCGATGGCCAGAAGTCGTAGTCTGCTGCTCGAACTGAGTCGGTTTGCTCAGTCCCGTAGATAATGTCTCAGTCTCTGTGGCCGAGACGGGACTGCGTCGAGCAGCAGTGCCAGTGTACTGGCGCTTCCCACGTGCGCTGGAAGCTGTGTCGTCACTTGTATGTTTAACGTAATGCTCGCGTGGCGGATTTCCATCTCTCACACTCACGACGTTTTCTTGTAGCGGTCCGTTATAGCTGACGTTCTGTTGCTGTGCTTCGGTCTGTGCCATGTTCCCGGTGGCTGGAGATGTGACCGTTAAACGGAGCCGCCTGCCGTACGCAATCGTTCCTTGTTCCGAGAGTGCCGCTCTCCTCCGTGCTTTGTCACTAGGCTGTCCACACCGTGCGAACGCCGCCCGTGATATATTGGTGCACGGTCCGCCACATTTATCACGACGGAGATTGCTGTCAGGAAAAGCCGCCAATGATTTTTCAAGACTTAGCAGGATAGATAGTGGGACATTCAAATGATAAACTGTGACTTAACTTCCTGTGTGATTATGAACTTGGTTTTACCTCGCCTCGGACGCCATCTCATCCAACCTGCAGATGAAAGATGATTTAATTGAGTGGGTTCCATTAAAGTTTTTTCTGGGTAGCCACCCTTGTTTTCCATGCGGCTTACTATTTGCCAGCCGTATTCCTCAAACCACAAGCCCGTCGAATAACCATCCCCCGTGTTTGCCCGGTCCCAGATAGAGGCAAATGGTGCCCTGTCTGCACACGAAATATGACCTATCTTATCACTCGCAAATACGCGCAATGTTTGAGAGGAGATAGAGGGGGGGGGGGGGGAGATAAGGCAGTGCGAGATTGGGTCGAGGCGAACAGCCGAGCTGCAGTGCAGCTCTTTCGACCTGCCTATTTCCCCACCTCCCTCCCCACGGCCTGTGTCACGGTGTCCAGCTGACGGCTTCGTGGTACGGAGGCACCGTCCGCAAATTGAGCCTCGAATCACCCGCAGTCACGTGACTCGGCCCCGGCTGCGCGCCGCCGGCTGACTTCGTCACGTGACAGCCTATCCGGTCGGACCGGCTGAAGTGGCAGGCACCGGCGTTTGTTCCGTCTCAACACGCGTCCGAGCAGGGCCGGTGCAGCACGCGACAAGGGCCCCCAGTCGACCTTGTCCCCTCCCCCTCCCTCCTCTGTGAGGCAGACGACTGGTGCTCCCGGGGACCAGTGCCGCGCTCGATGGAGGTTTTTGGGTGCATGTCCTCTCCCCCTAGAGGTGGCGCGGACCCTGGAGGTGAAGGTTCAGTACCGCTTCGCAGTGCAAGACGTCATGAGAACTTTTAAAAAACGGGTCCTCGATGCATGAAAACAGGATCACGACTCCATCAATTCACCCGAATACAATCGCATACACCTGAACAACGAGGGGCCCTTTGGCTGGATGGGGACCTCTATTTGGCTCCTCCTGAACGAAATTGGATGCCCCCATTGATTGACTGAAAGAGTCGTGAGTACCGCGGGCGGTGTGTGGCCCTGCGGCCGGATCTGGGAGCACATCTGCACTGAGACAAAATTGGCGCCTCCTCGGGCTGGAAACGCGGAGACGTGTACCGTGGAGACGTGATGTGTGCCTTGTTACCACGACTAGAGCATCCGCCACACTGCTTAGGGTGTCCACCACACGGTCCAGGGCAGCCCTGACCGGGTGGACGCGTCTGGGGCGTTTCTGGAAATGCGGTTGCGTAACTTTTTAATGTTACAACCTCCCGTGCTCCACTGTTTCCCTGAGCTTGTGTTTGATCACAAACCGTTCACTAACTATTTTTCCGGCTGCTGTGACTTTGCCGGTGAAGATTTTGAGTTTGTGTATGCGTGCTAACCTCGACAAACCGACGGTGTTTTCCAAGCCATGGGTCAGGATACGTGAAGTGTGGGATGTGTAGCCTGTCTGCAAACCCCATCCCCAAAGCCGCATGTTTTGGCTGAGTGTGATGTGCGACTGGTTTCTTGAAATGTTAACTGCGTGGTATTCAACATTAACCACGTGTGGTGTTCAACTGCCAGCTTGCATGACATGTACGGAACGCAAAAAAATGAGTCGGAATGTTGTAATGCTGCAGGTCCTCTTCGGTCATCGCCATGCCTTGCGATGACTGTGGTCGTGTACGCTGTGCCGGTTGATTTTGCTAGATGACGGTCCACACGTCGTACTCATAGGGAAGGTTCCACGTCCTATCGATATTGATCTATCTACATACCCTCGAATAAATATTGATCTAGTAAAGCGCCACAATTTTCACCAAACAGACACAAACTGATTGTTAATCGGCATTTATAGAGAACAACAAATTGACAAACTCGGCAGTCACACCACTTCGTCCTCCAGTAAAACGGCAAGGTGCACCTGTGTCCCGACCTCTGTAAGCGCATCCCGTCTCCTTCACCCCGGCGGCTCGGTTCGGGCGCCTGAGCGACGGTGCTGCTAGTCCGACCCCGCCCAGTGAGGTCACACCTCCAGCCCATACCTGGGTCCAATGCCCGAGGCTGCGCCGTCACCCACCACTGAGCTGACTGACCCCCTGCTCTGTCCTGCCCTGCCCTGCCCTGCCCTGCCCTGCCCTGCCCAACTCTGCTCTGCCCTGCCCTGCCCTGCACTTCAGCGCTGACCAGCTGGCTGCGTGGTTGCAGGCGCCGACGACCCCACGCTCTACCCTCCGAGCAACAAGGAGCTGAAGGAGGGCCAGTGGATGGGCGTGACCGTGCGCAGCCAGGGTCCTGGCCGCAAGGTCTTGGTGAGTATCTCTGTCTATCGGACGAACATCAACACCACCACCACCACCGCCACCACCACCATCATCATCATCATCATCATCATCATCATCACCATTATGTTTATTTTTTGATGCACTGGAATGTGAATGTAAGTCAGAAGGCAATCGCCGCTAGGCACATGTTTCGTTTTTACGACCATGCAGCGCATTGCACGTACATCTCCCTTCTCGTCAACTAAGCCGTGCGTCGACATCATTCAGATATCCAACACTGATCCTGAAAAGCACCCGCACGGACGTTCGTCTGCGACAACACGCGCACACACGGTCGTCCGTCCCGCCCGCCGTCAGCCGCCGGGCGCCGGCCGCGCCGCTGCGTCTCAATCGCGCCACTTTCTGGCGGTATCGCGGCGGTCAGCGCGTCGCGCGTCGCGCATAATGCGACGCGATCCGTCAGCGAGGCGGCGCCGCCTGACGGCCGGCCGAGCGTGCGCCGCTGCGGAGAAGGCAGCGGAGAGCGCCGCCGCGACGGGGGAGGCGGTGGAGAGCGCCGCCGCGACGGAGGAGGCGGTGGAGAGCGCGCGCCCGCGACGGAGAAGGCGGCCGGAGAGCGCCGCCGCGACGGGGGAGGCGGTGAATAGCGCCGCCGCGTCCCGCTCGGCCGGCCGGTCCGCTGACGGCGTGTGTCCGCGGACGCGTGCGCTGCGTGGTGAGCGTGCCTCGCGCGCTGCCCCGGTCGCGGCGTCGGTCTGACGGCCCGCGGTTGCAGGTGTGCGCCCACCGCTACGTCGAACGCGGCGAGGCCAACGACTACCACTGGGGCCACGGCTTGTGCTACACGCTGAAGCAGGACCTGGACTTCAGCGAGGCGTGGTCGCCGTGCTTCAACCTTGATACAAGCAGGTGAGGCGGCGCAGGGTGACGCCAGGCGGTTCAGTGTGCACGCCAACGAAGGAGGCGGGGTGTGAAGTCGAACCTGGCGCCCTGACAGGAACGAGTGGATCGCGGCAGTGCCGTGGTACAGCTTTGAGGCAACACCAGGGGATGGGCTCGAGATGATGGTCTGACACCTGGTGACCTGGTGGCTGACACCTGGTGACTAGCTTGACCCTACCAAGCTAGTCTGGTGTGAGGATTGGGACAGTCTACCGAGCTCAGAGGCTGATGTGGGGATCAGGGCAGGTCGCCGAGCTCAGGGTCTGGTGTGGGGATGGGGGCAGGTCACCGAGCTCAGAGTCTGGTGTGGGGAGCAGGGCAGGTCGCCGAGCTCAGGGTCTGGTGTAGGGATGGGGGCAGGCCGCCTAGCTCAGGGTCTGGTGTCGGGATCGGGGCATGTCGCAGAGCTCAGAGTCTGGTGTGGGATCGAGGCAGTCCGCCGAGCTCAGAGTCTGGTGTAGGGATGGGGGCAGGTCGCCGAGCTCAGGGTCCGGTGTGGGGATCGGGGCGGTCCTCCGAGCTCAGAGTCCGATGTAGGAGAGGAACACTCCTCCGAGCTCAGAGTCCGGTGTGGGATCGAGACATTCCTCCGAGCTCAGAGTCTGGTGTGGGACCGAGGCAGTCCTCCGAGCTCCCAGTCTAGTGCGAGGATCGGGGCAGGTCGTCGCTAGTCGGCGGCCACGCCCGGTGCTCCAGGGCGGGGCGGCGCCTTGGCACGGTCGGGTCGGGCAGACCTCCAGCTGCGTCGGCGCCGCTGCCAGCGGCGGTGTTTAGACGAGCCGACGACCCGCGCCGGCCCGCGGCGCCCGGCGCGAGGTCGAGTCATGGCTGCGTTAATGGATCGCCCGCTGAATGGAAGGTATGCCGGGGTCGCTTGTCAAACCGACGGCTTCGGTGGCACCGGGGTGCTGTGTCGGGTTTCGTGCTGGCTGTACGTCAGCGTAACGCCGCACCGCCAGGCTCGGAGCCAGAACGCCCGGCAGGCGGCACAATAGGCCATGTGTGACGTTTGAATGGCGTACGGTGCCTAATTCTTTGGGGCTGAGAGAAACACATTTTGTGGGGAAGGACATTTCCGTGTTCTTTATCCATATGGCACCCCTCTAAATTACAGGGTAGGTGTGAAGTCTTCGGCTTAGCGATGACTAAATACTTCATGTCGCCCAACCAGACCGATCAACCACGGGCCTACGCAACCATGATCTACCGATCAACCATGGTCCACCGATCAGCCATGAGCTACCTCCAAAAGTGCCTACAAGTGAAGCACATCCGGATGAGGATGACTGGCCAGTTACCTGCGCTGCCGGGGGGAGGAGGGCGGGGGGGGGGGGCATGCTCCACGATTCAGCAACCATGTAGCAAAGGAGGTGAAGCGTGGGCACGATGTTTCCCTTTCCCTTTTCAAGAGATTTCCAGATTTTGATTTCCAGATTTCCAGATTCCCCTCGACGGATTTTGAGCGGTTTCGCAGGAATTCGGTCCAGTTTCGCGGAATTCCGGACCAGAGGCGCAGGTAAGGAAGGGTTCCGAGGCTCTTAGGCCCGTATGTTTCGTGTTCCACCATAGATGGCTCCCAAGAGAAAGGTTGTGAACGGTGAAAGGCGCCAACCCCTCAAAGACATCCTGGCTGTGCTTGTGGTTTGCACGATATTTGACATTTTGCGTCGCTGTAGGCTAGCTGTAGGTCATCAGCATGACTCCTCGGGGAGCTTGACCGGTCTGGTGTAGGTCATCAGCACGACTCCTCGAGGGGGCGCGGCCGGCCGTGTTCGACAGCGGCCGGCGGACAGCCGGAGGACGGCCTCGTCACCGGCGCCGCTGTCGGAGCCCGGGCCTGACACGGCCGGTGTCGGCGCCGTGTCAGACACCGGCGTCGGCAGAGTGGCCGTGTTGTGCCGTGTCTTGGTGTCCCCGACCGGCCGGCCGGCCGGCGTCGCCGCGGTGGTCAGCCGGCTGGCCGGCGACAGCTGACGGAGCGTGCTTCGGGGGTGCCCCGGGTGACTACTCCTGGCAGTGAGGGCCGGGGGGACGGCCCTGTCGTTACGTATTCTGTACGTTGGACGTTGGGGACCGGGAAACCATTGACGCATGGCATGTTAGTGCGATTAACGAGTTTGGCTTCCCTGTAAATGGTACGAATGTGTTGCAGACATTCACGGAAACAGCAATGTGTGTCAATTATGAATCACGGATTTCGGCATCCAATACTTCAGAAAGTGCCTCACCCAATGGAAGTAAATTACAAGCACTTCTCCGAAGCAACTACATCTATATCGCACAGAGTGCTGTTCTAATGGCGGGATCGATACGCACGCCCCTGAAGTCGCTGGAGGCACGCTATGATCGAGGGCCCGTAGCGGCGCTTGTGGACGCCGCGCCTCCAACGCCCCACCAGCGGTCCACCAGCTGACTGCCGCCGTCCGCCGTGCCTCGGTAGCAGTCTCTGCACGTGGGAACAGACGCCTGGCCGGAAATTCCCACAGACGTAATGGATCCCTGCTAACTTTGGGAAAGCAGACACACGACAGCGCCAAGCCTTGGTTATTCACGGTGGGGGTGCCGCCGAAATGCCTGCAGGCGCCCATGAATTACTTATACGCCGCTGCGCCATGTACGTATTATTACCGGCGTCAGATCGGCGCCAGTGGCCATGGCGGCTCGGCTCCTCCGGGCGGGCGGTGAATCGCCATCACGCCCCAGCGATTCCAAACCGCAGCCATGACCGTGAGACTCCGACGGTGCTGCAGAAGCGTCACTGACCAGGATGTGTGGCCGGTACAATGTGCCGCCCGCTTCGGTCCGTGCCGGCGGCGTTGTGGTGCGTGAGCTGCCTTCTGCTCTGCGCCCCCGCCGTGGACGCCGGTGCAGAGTGTGGCACGGGTGCAGGTCATCCGTCCCCAGACGGGATGGGGGCGGCTGGCCCTCAGTGAGGATAAGTGGTAAAGCGGGGTGTGGGCATTGACATACCCGGCTTCGTTGTGCCCCCGCTGCCGTTCGTTCCCCGCCCCCTCGCGCACATAACTCGTCTGGTAACGTAACGGTGGCTTGAACTTGCCCACCACTGTTCGTAATGGTCGTTTCTCCCGGTAGTAGCTCTGCTCATCGCATGAGATGTTTGTTGTCACACGATCTCGCTTGTTCTCACTTGTCGCCGTCTTTCCATGACCGTGACCCTTGTCTGACCGGTCTTAGCATCTGCTGCTTTGATTCTGATGTCTCTCCTTTGTCTTGTCTTGCCGTTTTGTTACCAGATCCCTTGCTCCGTCACCTGAGATAACATCCTTTCGCCAGACCTGCCGCCGTCTTGTTATCTGTTGTTGTCTCTCTACACCTAACCTACAGCTCTGACCTGACTCTGACCTCTGACACCTGGCCCTCGGGCTGACCTGCCATCCTGACGTCATCCTGGCTGACCTGACCCCTGCCCTGACCCTCCGTTCCGCTGGCTGACCTGACCCCTGCCAACGCGCCGCAGGGCACACGAGCAGTACGGCTACTGCCAGGCGGGCACGTCCGGCCTGTTGACGGACGACGACAACGCCGTGATCGGCCTGCCCGGCCCCTACACCTGGCGAGGCACCGTGTTTGCCGTCAACATTTCCGACGCGTACCTGCTCCGAGACAAGGTCCAGTACTTCGGGCCCGTCACCGAGCGCACCAGCCCCGTCGACAAGTACAGCTACCTGGGTAGGTTGACGGCGGTCGTCTGTGATGGGGCGTCAGCCAGCCGGGCTGAGCCACCGTAGCTTAGGACGCGTGGTGATCACCGCTTCTCGGGCGCCAGCCATGCTGACATATGGTGTGGCCGAGACTGATATCGGCATAGCAGCAGTGGTGTGACGGCTGGATGCTCACGTTACAGCGGGTCGCCGTGGAGGCCAGTGATTCGGTGCCGATCTCTTGCTTGATCTTCGAAGGAGTCATAGCCACAGTGTGCGGCTCCGGCTCCTTCGCTCTGGGACGTCCCCCATGCCGTGACTGCCGACTACGGCTGGGTCGTTGTGTGACGCACGTCTCCGGCGGGTTTCAGGCATGGCTGTGGCGTACGGCAGGTTCTTCCCCCGGCGCAACAGTGACTCCATGGTTGGCGGCGCGCCCCGGTCCAAAGGAACGGGACAGGTGGTCTTCTTCTCGAGGGTGGGTGACAGTTTATCAGATGTGCAGAGAGGAGGTCCTCAGCAAAGCTAGATAGACCTTTCGCTAGATAGACCTCTGTAATCACTTTGCAGTGATACTCATGGTATGATAAGCATCACTGCGAAGCGATATTTAGGACCGCTGAGCAGAAATCATAAGTGTCCCTAGGGCGGCTGTTGCATAAAAAAGGTGGCATGCTAGACGGTTCTTTGGATACTGCCAGTCTGCTCAGCCGTGTTTGAATACTTTTGTAACTTGGTCCATATTGAAAAATGGATTAATGCGCATAACACCACATTTTGTAATGAGCCGCACGCACATCTTCGTCCTGATTGAATTAGCTGAGGTATCAGAATTAACCTCTCAGTGGTGGTCTCTCTGGTCACCTGTCCGAGCCCACGCCATTCCCCATTACAGGAGCGCATTGGACAGAAGACTATACGACTCAGTGGTTGCCTCTCTGGTGACTTGTCCGACCTCACGCCATTCCCCATTACAGGAGCGCATTGGACAGAAGACTCTACGATACGATCTGATTCTGGACGGCGAGATGTTCGCCTCCCAGTTCGGCTACGAGCTCTGCGCGATCGACTTCAACAACGATGGGTGAGCACACAGCCCTGTGGACGGCTCAGCCGCGTCGCTGCGTGCGCTAACCTTTGGCTGTTTGTGTTGACAAACGCGTAGACAGACGCCACGTGTAGTGCTGTCGTATCAAAATGATCAGGACTGTTAACTGATCTAATGCCTCGCAAAGATAGTCCTACAGAGGCGGTCATGCGCCGGAGCTTTAGGGCCTTGATGAAGCGCATAAGAAAGCTTGATGCTCCAGGTTTACGGCGAAACGCATTCGGATCCAGCTTCAGGAAAGTAAGGTCAGATTCAGGTCAGATAAGGTCGGATTTTGCTTCCGTTAGCGTGGCATCGAAACCACCCTTAGCTTCATAGACAAGCACCACGCTCGTTTGACTGCCACGCCACGATCTGGCTGGCGCCACCTCTGGTATTCGTCGAGCACACGCCGTCGGCTGCGGGCGTGACTGATACCATAGCCTTGCCACAGTGACCGGCTGGAGACAATGCCGTGCAGGGTGACGGCTGGTGCAGGCAAACCGTTACCGAAAACCGTTACCGTTCCGTACTGACCGTCAAACAAGTGCCGTCTTGTCTCGAGCTGTTCGCTGGGTGCTGCACGGGGTGTTGCGGGTGCCGCGTGGGTGGGCAGAGCGGTATGTGATGTGCACCAACCGCCCCAGGATGACCGACCTGGTGGTGGGAGCACCGTTCCACTTCACCGACACGACCGGCGGCGCCATATACATCTACAAAACGCCCCGCACCGGACTCACCAAGGAAACGGAACGGATTCGCATCACCGGTACGTGCAAGCCGGGTGGTTGGAGCAGTTGGAGCAGGTGCCCACAGGGCTGAACATTTTTTGTTGCCGTTTCTGGCTGTGGTAGTTGAAGGTTTTTACATAAATAACGTGTAATAGCGAGGGTCGCCATTCTCTTCCTGATCGGCAAATGAATCACGACGCTGACATGCAAAAATGTCAGCTTGGCAGGTTTTGAATGGCACGGAATATGAACCTCTGCGGTTCCGATATGTCGTACTGTCGCGATCCGTGCACTCGCGTTCCTTTTATTCATGTTTTGCACGCCAGCCGCTGGCCGTTCTAAGCCCGTGAGCTCCGCTGGGTGGCGGTTGCCACCCGCCCTGACTCCTCCATTCTCCGCCAGGGGCGCCCGAGTCGCGGTTCGGCTTCGCCCTGTCGAACCTGGGCGACCTGAACAAGGACGGCTTCTCGGACCTGGCGGTAGGCGCGCCGTTCGAGGGTCACGGGGTCGTGTACATCTACCTGGGCGGCCACGAAGGTCTGAGCACGGAGCCCGCCCAGGTCATCCGCTCGGAGAACGTGGTCGGCGCGCGGGCGCCCATCACCTTCGGCTATTCTCTTGGGGGCGGTACCGACATCGACGGCAACGGCTACCCGGACCTCCTGGTCGGCTCCTTCTGCAACGACACGGTGGCCCTGATCAGGTGAGGGGCCGTGCGGGCCGTGGATGGCTTTGGGTAGCTCTGTGGGCGCGAGAAGCGCGAGAAGCCTCAGTCGGGGCAAACGGGAGGGCCAGAGCCCTCGGCTGACTTGTGCAGGGAGGTGTTAGTGGAGTCACGAGTCGGCAACAGACCCGGTTTGGAGGCGATGTGTGCTGAGAAACGTGTCGTGATGTGCTGTAGCGCGTTTTTCATTTCTCCTCAATTTTCTTGTCCGGTGATTGACGGCCGACGTCACTGATTCGTAGCTCAGCATCTTTGGTAGTAAACGCCGCCACATGGGGCTGGCGAAAACGCGACGGACTCCCAGTGCGCAAACCCTGCTACCAGAGTTCAACAGACCGTGGACTGCTGGGCGTGGAATTGCGCTGCCGACTGGCTGTGAGCACCGCGTGGCGCTGTGGCCGCCACGGTCACGTTGTCATCGTCGTCGCCATGCCCGCCGGAGGGTGCCGTGACCGGCGCCTGACCTCTGGCCTCTCCCCCAGGGCGCGCCCGATCGTCGGCATCGTCACCAAGGTGCAGGGCTTGGCCCAGCTGGAGAGCATCGACCCGAGTACCACCGGGTGCGCCGCGCGGCCCGGCAGCGAGGAGAAATGGTGAGTGACGCGCATTGACGCGGGTGGGCCGGACGGTTGGCACGCCGATGTGGGGACCACTCAGGGAAAAGGGTTTAGGGGAAAGGGAAAAAGGGTGAAAAAGGGACGCAGAATGACCGCGGATGTCGGCGCGTCCTTAAGCCCAAATAGCAACAGCAAAAGGATGTCGCGTGGTTGAGGTATTGTGTACTCGCATCGGAATGCGTTCCTGAGTTTATTTTTTCTGTGAGTTGCCAATCTCTGCGGGCTGCCGTTCTGGTGTTCGTCTACTATTATGACTAAGTGGTCAGGAATATAAAGCGGACTTGGTTCACCCATGTGTACGGTGTTATATAATTGCACGGTGGTTTTTAATCTGCCTGTTGGCCACCCTACTGGAGACTTCCCCGTGACATAACATCAGACCGTGCACAGCCTCTGCGTATCAAATCCAGCCCAAACGCGGCATCTGACGGACGGCTGGTTGCAGCGTGCCGTTCCAGGCCTGCTTCAAGATGGAGTCGCTGGAGCAGCTGAAGACAACGGTGGACTTGGAGTACCGCCTGGAGGCGGAGACCTTCCAGCCAGGTCGGCACTACTCGCGGGTTCGGTTCCTGGACGGCCTGCCGCAGCGGAAGCACATCGTGGAGAAGACGCTTCCGCTGAGCGCCACCAACACGCGGCAGTTTATCTGTCAGGAGGAGGTCATGTTTGTCAATGTGAGTCGCTATTTCCTTGGTTGAGGAACAAGAAGTGCTCAGCTACTTTACCTCTATGCGAACTGATGGCTAAAGGCGCTAAAGGAGTTAAAGGGGTAATTACGACGTGGCGAGCTTAAAAAGGAGCGCCACTTGGCCGAGTAAACGGCGGATGTCGCAACGTGCCCGACTCCCCCACTCTGACTCCGGATATGGCTGACTCTGACTCTGTTTGGCAGAAACAAACACTTGACATCCAGACGCCAATCCCGATCAAGCTGACGTACTCGCTGAAGCAGCGCAAGCCGCGCCAGGCCTACCCGGGCGCCTCTCTCCCCGACATCGACAACTTCCCCATCCTGAACCAGCAGGAGGCCTCCAAGGTCTTCCTCGCGAAGTTCACCAAGAACTGCGGAAACGATGAGATCTGCCAGAGCGAGCTGCTGGTACAGCCTGAGTTCGACCTCCGCAAGGGTAAGAGGGCGGCTCGGGGTAGGTCTGTCTCTCCCGTTTGCGTGTCGCCGGCGGCCTTAGTATGAGCTGTGCCATCCGCAGGTCTGTGTTGGCCCGCGCCGCCTGCGGTGCTCTGCCTGACCCTAGGACCCTCTCTGACCTATGCGTAACCGCGCTGACCGCGGCTCCTGCCTTACCTGTGGGTGACCCTCGTTGACCGCGACCCCTGTGGGTTACCTCGCTGACTGTGACCCTGTCTGCAGACGACGAGGGCTTCGCGGTGCTGGTGCTAGGGCCTTCACAAGAGCTGCGCGTCAACGCTACCGTCATCAACCACGGAGAGCCGGCCTACGACGCCCGAATGTTCATCGGTCACCCGCCCCACATCAGCTTCATCGCCAAGGAGCCGCGGGTCAGTTGATGAGCCTGCCGAAAGCGTGCGCTCGCTGGTCTCTGTGGCCGAGATTGGCGTGGTGTTATGTTAGCGGGATGTTATGTCCATTCCAAGCGTAGTATAGGCCTGCGCGGTGCTGGCTCGGCGAACGCGATCGTGGACATACGCTTGCCCGCGCTGATCTTTGAGAGATAAGGTGGTTGGGTTTGGAGCGTGCGAGGCGTCCGTGCGGGAGGTCCGGGTTCGATCACTGACTGACGCGTTTTCTTCTGGGCGGATAAGATCGCCGTAGTTGCTGGTGCTCCACGAAAGGCTGCACGATGATGTGCGCCGCGCAGCCTTAAGAAAAGTTACTGGTATTTATTCTGTTGGAAATTGTACTGATGCTGCAAGCGCCATGTCAGGCTGCATCTGTCTAAAAAGTGGATTCAGCTTTCCCGTCCAGTTTTCAACGCTGAGTTCTCCTGTGACTTGTCCAGATGCTGTAATGTGCGCCAATGCGAAAAACAGGGCATACATTGGCACACAATGGAGAGTAAGATTGCCAGATATGTGGACACGCAAACATTGTACACCAACCATGCACAACCTTGCACGTCCCGTGTAGCATGTCACCAAGCCTCGGTAACAAATACCGCGCTCTAACCAAAACGTCCAACATCACTAACGTCGTCCCGTTTCCGTCCACCCCCGCTTCCACCCACGCGCGCGCCAGCAGTGGGACCAGTCCGAGCCGAGAACGATTCGCTATTGGCCGGTCTGTGACTTCGTAAGTGGCCGTGGCTGCGTCGCCGGCGGCGTTGACCTGAGGTCAGCCGGCGCCGGCGGTCGGGCATGCGGAGGTGGCGCCGACTGTTGCCAGGGCATGGAGGCTGCGATCAGTGGGCTTTGAAGGGGCGCCACAGTGCAACGCGCCGCGGCCGTGCCCTGCGCGCTCTCGTCACTTGGTCGATGGCGTTTTGAAGCAGGCGCGAGCCAGGCGGCACGGGAATGACTTGGTTGGCGCTGTAGGCTTTTGAAACGAGTTCGCGCGGGCTGAGATATTTGTGATTGGTTTTTGCCTCGGTTAGAATTCCGATGATTTGATGTTCTTGATTTGTATTCGCTGTGCTTTGGTGATCATAATACGATAGGTGTATGAGCCATTTGGTAATGCACTATGAATGCTTGGCATGAAAATATTTCCTTCATTGTCGCACATGACTATTTCTACCTGTCGGTCGCAACTATTACATAGATGCATTGCTATTTTTACAGACGTTAGTTTTGTAGGCCACTTCTTCGGCGATCTTTTCTGTATCTCTCTGCTTGTGGTGTTCTCTGTGCCTATCCATTTCCCAATAAATTTGTGCTGGTGTTACCGGTTGGAAAGCATCCCACTGGTCTCCAGGGGCCTGTTTTTGGTCTGCTCTTCCATCGACGTTTTTGAAATTATTCCAGCTCCAACGCAACGGTCTTTCGAGAACCCACGTGTCACAAAAGCCTCGTTGTTGTCCGCGCCAACAGCTGAGCCGTGTGTGCCCTACAGTAACACCTCCCCACCCTGGGCTCTGGCGTCGTCCGCGGCGCCGCTGCTAAGGCCGCTGCTAACGTCACCTCCCGTCACAGGACAACAACGTGGTGTGCAACACGCACGACTCCAAGACGGTCGTCTGCTACCTGGGCAACCCGGTGGAGCGGGGCCGGAGCGACATGGTGCTCCGCTTCGACGTCAGCCAAGTGGACGACGACGACGACCAGATCGAGCTGCGCTTCAGCACCAACACGACCTCTGAGCAGGTCAACCAGCAGGGCGAGGTGGACATCCGCGCCCGGGTCGCCAAGCGCAGCGAGGTCTCCGTCTCCGGGTGCGTGAGATGACCTTTGGCTGCGCGTTGGGCGTGCTGCCTTCCCGGCCGCCGGCTCGAGAGACGGTATCGCTGTCATGGCCATGATTGGGGCTGTATGCGTCACGGACTACCGGGGTGCTTTAGAGACGGGCGGTTTTGTTATCCAGATGATGAGAAGTGTACGCGGGAGTGTTGTGCGGCACGTGTGTATGTGCTGCGCACGTAGGTGGGGATTCGGACGCCGTGAAGTATATGACCTGACGTTGCCCTTTGTGTGATCTCAAATCCCCTGTTGTTATCCAACACCGTCTCTGATCTGTCACCTGATCCAACCTGCCTGTTGCTTAAATACCGATGCAATATCCAGCCACTTCATGCCCGTCCTTGAGGCGTTACCTGGCATTCCTCGCCTCCTCGCGACCTGGTTGCTCCCCGTCACGAGCCCTGACGCCGCCCCTGCCCGCAATCCAGGCGGGCCCAGCCGGAGCAGTCGTTCTACGGCGGCGAGGTGCGCGGCGAGGCGGCCATTCAGTACCTGGACGAGATCGGCAGCCCCGTGATGCACAAGTACGAGGTGTACAACGCCGGCCCGTCCACCGTCGAGTACGTGGACGTGCACATCGAGTGGCCGGCCCAGGTGCAGAGCGGCGGCGACCAGGGCAAGTGGCTGCTCTACATGACCAAGCCGCCGGTGGTGCAGGGTGAGTGGGCCGCGCGGGCGCCGTCGCCGGCCGCCGGCCGCCGGCCGACGGCCGACGGCCGACGGACCGGGGTGAGGGGCCCTCGGAGGGCTGCTGACGACTCTGGTGATGGCTGTGGGGTCGGGCGCGCCGCCGTCGTGCTGCGCTATCTGGTCAGAATGGAGTGAGGGATGACCGATTTAGTGAGAAATGCGCTGCTGAAGGTTATCTTGTATTAGCGATAGGCTTTTCTATCTCGGAGTAATTTATTGCAGAGCCATATTAAACGGGATCTAGTAGACCGAGTAAATGTATAATGTATGCATATAGCAAATGTAATGTACACAAGGCGATTAATTGAAAAGGATCAGATGCAAAGGTTTTTAGGTTTCGCATTAGCTGTATCGCATCGAAGCATACACTCACATGATTTGAACGTGGAATCAATATCCCAATGTTTCAGAAAACCGACCTTAAGCCTTCAGTTTGAGCTTGCCGCGTCCAGTGAGAACACGCAACCTTCCAACATCCAGTCCGTGACACGCCGCTGGGGGAGAGGCCCGTTCGCGCGCCGTGTGATTTACTGGCGCAGCCGTCGATGCTCGGCCCCATGCCGGGCGACCTCTGTGCGACCTGACCTGACCCTTTCACCCTTTCTGTGCGACAGGCGACGGCGAGTGCTTCCTGGATAAGGTGCACGTGAACCCGCTCAACCTGAAGCAGCGGCAGGAGGAGCCGTCTTTCGCCCCCGCCAGTGTATTCGGAGCGTACGTGGGCGGCTACCAGAGCTCGTCTTCCTCGTCCTCGTCAACCTCGATCTCTGGTGGCAGAGGATCGTCAGGTTCGCAGGGTGGCAGCTCGTCCTCCTCGTCGCAGAGCAGCAGTTCGTCCTCCTCGTCGCAGGGCGGCTCTTCCTCCATTTCCACCTCGTACAACCGCAGCAGCACGTCGAGCAGCTCGTTCAGCACCTCGTCGGGCGGCTCGTCCGGCGGCGACCACCACGACCGGGTGGTGGTCGAGGACACGACTGTGCGCAAGACTGACCTGAGCGGTGGCCTGAACGCGGTCGACTCGCGACGGCGCAAACCGGACGACGCGTACCGGCGCCGACGGCCGCTGGACCGCGACAGGCAGCAGGGCCGCGGCTCCACCTACGAGAGCAGTAGCAGCAGCAGCAGCAGCAGCTTCGGCGCTGGCGACGGCTCTCGGCGCACCTACGCTCGTGTTGACGGTGATAGGGAGGACGACTATGGCCAGGGCATTCGCGGCGGCGGCTATACGAGCTCAGAGCGGCGCACCTATCAGACCAGTCAGAGCGCAGGCGGCAGTGGAGCGGCGTCCGTTGACCGGAGGGGATACGGGACCGGCCAGAGCTCCGGTGGCGCGGCGGGAGGTGGCCGCTACAGCAGCAGCAGCGACGAGCTGGAGCGACGCTACGGCGCCGGCCAGGGCTTCCGCACGAGCACGCTTGATGTCGGAGGGGGCGGCGGCAGCGACAGCGGCCGAGGGGGCTTTGCTGGCTCACGTGGCGGTGGTGACGGCGGCGGCGGCAGAGGCGGCGGCGGAGGTCGCTACGACAGCAGCAGCGGCAGCAATGACGAGTTGGAGCGTCGCTACGGCGCCGGCCAGGGCTTCCGTACGAGCACGCTTGATGTCGGAGAGGGCGGCGATAGCGATGGCGGCCGAGGTGGCTTTAGCGGCTCACGTGGCGGCGGCGGTAGCGGTGGCGGCAGAGATAGCGGCGGAGGTCGCTACAGCAGCAGCAGCAGCAGCAGCAGCAGCAGCAGCAGCAGCAGCAGCAGCAGTAATGACGAGTTGGAGCGTCGCTACGGCGCCGGCCAGGGCTTCCGTACGAGCACGCTTGATGTCGGAGAGGGCGGAGGCAGCGATGGCGGCCGAGGTGGCTTTACCGGCTCACGAGGTGGCGGCGGTGGCGGCGGCGGCGGATTTTACGCGGCAGGCGGCGGCCGCCAGAGCGAGTACGGTGACGACCAGTACGACTCCGAGTACGACGGGCCGACTGGGCGGCCGCGACGCCCTGGCGGTCGCCGCCGCGGCTACTACCGCCGCCGGCGGCCGTTTGGCGGCGCTGCCGGTGCCGGCGGCAACCAGTCGTACTCGTTCCAGCGGCGGTACGAGTCGCGCCGGCCGTACCCGGGCATCACTGACCGGCCAACGGACGACCTGGAGGCGCGCCGCGACGAGCTGAGCGGGCGCCGCGTGGCCGGCGGCACGGAGCACGTGGAGCGCACGGACGGCGGCACGCGGCGCACGTACCAGGCGCACCGCCCGCTGAACGGCGGCTACGAGCGCGAGGAGCTGACCGAGGAGGAGCGACGCCTGAGGCGCGAGCAGGCGCGACGCACGCGTCGTGACGCCGGACGGCGCCGCGTCAGGCGCGAGCAGGAGATGGTGGTCATGCCGGAGGCTGTGAGGTCACCATCGGGAGAGGTGCACCAAGTCATCTTCATGGTGAGAAGGGAGAATGAGCCACGCGAGAGGTGGGCACTTTTGGGTCAGTCAGACTACTTAAGAGATGTTAGACACCAGATGTAAAATGCCGCACCTCACTCAAAAGTATACAAAAAATGTCAGCATTCTTGTATCAGCTGTATATCGGATGATGTATGTTGTTTTCTGCACGCAATTTTTCTGAGCCTCTGAGCCTCCACCAATTCTTCCGCTGCATAAGTTCACCAGGTCCGCTCAGCACCACTTACCAAGCACACGGATGCTGTCCGCAGGACTGCGAGCGCAACTCAGCGAAGTGCATCAAGTTCCGCTGCCGCATCCACAACCTCCCGGAGAAGCGGAACGCGCTGGTGTACGTGCAGGGCCGCATCTGGAACAGCACGCTGGTGGAGGACTACGCTGACGCCTCCTGGGTTTCAATCAAGTCCCGCGCCACGCTGGAGATGGACCCGTCCATCGAGAAGCTGCAGGATATCTCCGACGACGTGTTCGCGGTGAGTGCCGGCTGCTGGCGGTGATCACGCGGCCGCACGATCAGTGTCGATGAACGGGGCGGCAGCGATACCTTAGTGAAGAATGTGTGTTCGGGAGAGGCGGAAGTTGTGCTTATGAGATCCTTTGCCCGTGGTGTGACCTGTCTTTGGCATGCAGTGTGACCTAACTGTGAACGTTTTTGGTCCGCCATTTGAAAGCCCTTGCGTGGTTCAAGTCCTAGCCCGACCTGCACTGTACACTTGTCTTTTTTTAAGAAAACACAAGATACGTGACTGTGAACATTTTACGGGGTGCCGGTCATTGGGGCGGTCATATTAGCGGTTAAGCATCAGGACATGGCCAAAATTCGAACCTGGGCTCCACGCTGGAGCCGAAGACGCTAAGCGCTAGCCAATGACGCCCTCTATGGGCATCACCCTGTCACGGCTGTGTCATGCATTCTGTTTTATCTCCTTGCTAATGCTGCGCGCGGGCAGGCCTGGCTGCCGGTGCGGTCTGTGCCGCTCTGCCGGCGAGTCTGTGTGACCCCGCCGAGCCGTCCGCGGCCCTGGCCTGACGTGCCGCACCATCCCTCTGCTCAGGCCGAGACGCTCGCGTACCCGGACCTGCCGCGCGAGGCCGAGGGCGGCGGCGTGCCCATCTGGGTGATCATCGTGTCCGTGCTGGCCGGCCTCCTGCTGCTGGCGCTCGTCGTGCTCATCCTCTGGAAGCTGGGCTTCTTCAAGCGGCGGCGACCCGACCCGACACTCAAGTCCAACATCAGCCGCTAGTCGCCGCCGCTAGCGGTCCTTGTGCTCGCCGCGGTGGCTGCCATCGATAGATCGAGTGCCGTCCACGAGCCCCGCGGTCGCGCTGACGCCATGCCCGCCTGCGGGACCGGACAGCGCACCCAAACCGGACAGCGCACCCGGAGTGGACAGCGCACCCGGAGTGGACAGCGTTCCTCGGTGGAGTGAGCTCTCCGAACCCCGACGGGTTGCGTCGTGTCGTGCCATGAGTGTGCGTGAGTGAACGCGGCACGCCGTGCCAAAGGACGGATTTCGGACGGCGACGTGGGCGGCGCGGGCCTGAGGCGCCGGGGGAGAGGGACGCTGCTCAACGGCGCGCAGACGGTCGGTCCCCTCGCGCGGGCGCCTGCGTCGGCTCGGTGTGAAATGTGGGACGGGTGGCTGGTGGGCGCGCCCCGCCTGCCGTGTCGGCTGTCGATGTGATGGCGGAAAGTGAGGGTGGTCAAATCTGCCGCCCCTCTCCGACTGACGTGTCTGTTTCTATTTGTGAAAGGTCATTATTGCGCTACAGCTTGAAGAGCTAGAATGGCGTGCGCTAGTTAATGTTCTCTTCGGGCAGCTAGAGGTAGGTGTGGAGCGTTTTGTACGTGGGAGTCATCCCTTCTTCCGGCTGGCTTACTGGTCTGCATCACACGTTCTTCCGCCGAGCCTTCTTCCACTTGAAACGCGTGGCTATTTCAGCCAACATTTATATTGCAACCAATGGTGCTTGTCGCATCTAGTTTTTAGCTCTCGAGTGTGTGCATTGGATTTTACTTGACGACGTTGACGGGTCTCCCGTCGATGGGAGCCTTGACGTCCATGACAGGTTTCACTTCTGCCCTCGCCAGACACTCTACACACGGCTTACCCACGCGTACACTCTCATCGACTTTGTCGCCTTGATTTCCAAGTCGCTCATTTTCATCCCGGCATTTCCGCCACCGATGAAGCGCTGCCGGAGGTGTTCTTCGTGCGGCACCACGGCCGGAGTTGTTATGCGGATGCATGGGAGGCGCGTGCCGCGGCCACGTCCTGCGGCAGTCTCTGTAGCTCGGGGCCCCGGCCAGCCGCGTAAGGTCGGGCCACACCGCCGGGCCCAGCGTCCTAATACTGTGATATTAACCTAGGACCGTCAGGCGGGCGGCCGCGCGGTGGGCCGCCGGCGGCGCGCGACGCGGCGTCGAGTCAGCGCCGCGCTCCCGCCAGACTCTCTCCCCACTCCTGAAAGTGTGCTCCTGCGCCGATCCGCGCCGCCGGCGCCGTCCGGTGCCCAGGTCGCCAGAGGGTAGCCGTCTGCCGCGTCCCGGCGGCTCCAGCCCCGCCGCTCTGCCGCGGGGCCCGCCGCGCGCCCGCCCGCCAGATAGTCTCGAGCGTGCGCGCGTGAAAGAGTAGCGGGACGCGTCCAGCTGTGCGCGCCTCGCCGTGTGGAGGCTCTGCCGCGCGCAGGCCTGCCGACTGCACTGCCTCGCTGCGTTCGTCGCGTCCCGTCAGGCGATGCATGTGGTGCAAGATGTGCGCGGTTTCTCGACTAATAGAGCACTGACCGATGCTGTTGTTTTCATGGTGATCGGGTTAGACCGCCGTTGCTGATCGCAGGCGAGTCGCTCCGGTTGGTGCACGACGTTAGGTTGCGAGCTACGCCGGAGGGCACAGTGCCACTGGGACGCGCCCGAGGCTGGGTGACGTCACCCGTCCGAGGCTATGTGACGTCACCCGCTCATTGCGGGCGCCGGCGGGACGCGATGGCGGACGATCATTTCGCGCCACAGCCAGGTCGTTTGGCGCCATGAGCTCAGTCCGACGGCTTGTATGGGCCGGCCTCGTTGACGTTCGAAGTGCGAAATGGCACTGACGCTCGACGCCAAGTGGCGCTGTTTCCAGCGCTTCTGACCATTGCGGTGCGCTGAGACGTTCTACGTCTACGTCTGGGCCAATGGCGCAGCCAGGGTTTTGTTTTTGAAGATATGTCTGGAGCTCGGTGACAGCGCAGGTCGGGCCTGCCTTATGATGTTGGTGAGCGTACATGACCGCGGTATGCATGCTCACGCCATGCCAGGGCTGTGGTCTTGGGTTTGATTACGAATTACAGCACCGCGTCTTGCGAGCTGACCTATCCAGGAGAACTTATTGAAGTAGACCTTGACGTGACGCGAGGAATACGAGGAACGTCACGCATGGCATGGATATTTGAGAAAGGCTAGTTGACGTCACCAAAATAATAACCTTAAGTTAGGAAAGCTTGTTCTTGAGGTGCATGGCTTGAGGCCCACAGGGCAAGTGAGTCGCGTCGTCCGTATCTCCACACACGGACAAATCGCTTGCGTTTGTTTAAAGATTACGCTTCATGTCTTATCTAGTGCATGGCTATGCATTTTGCGAATACCATTACTTGGTTTGAATTTTCTTTAAAAAAGTTTACCATCATTGGCAGTACCAGTTTCACAATATGACATTCTTCGCATAGAGTGATGACTGGTTCTTTAAAACGGGACAACGTGATAAATGGTTATCTTTCGGAAGCAATTATCAGTTACGATGTGAGTGTCAACAACTGAAAGACCCGGGCGTTAGATGGCCATGGAATATACCGCCGGCGCTCTTCGTTTTGCAAAGACTCAGTGGACTCTTTTCCAACCGAAGGCACTCAGGGCAGGTGTGTTACTTATAAGATCAGTTTTGGGGCTCAGCCAGTAAAGTTGGCCGACGCCAGATAAAGAAAAAAAGCTGGCCCATCATTTCCCGGGCTTTGCTGTATGCTGTCCTTCACGCAGAGAAATCGTCCATAGTTACTAGTGTGACTGTCTTTTCACGCCTCGATGCATCTGTGTCAATAGGTATAGGCTTCATTAGCTTAATCCTGTAACGGTAGTGGTTGGGTGTTGAGATTAAACTTCTATAGGTTTACTAGCTTTTACTTTACATTTTTCGTTACGCCTCTTGTCTTCTGCCTAAACGTGTTGAGTCCAAGACCAATTTTCGTACCAGAAATGTCAAATTGGCTACCAATTACCAAGGCCACAGTCAGCGTGGTGATGGGTTCGGCCGTCCGCACCCGCAACAAAACTTCGATCTCCAGTAATTGTTTTATCCATGTTCTCCTGTGTCCTAGCCCACTCGTTAAAACATATTTGGCGTGTTACGCGTCACGCAAAATTATGCAAGACGCTGCAAAGGCTACATAAGTATTAGTCGCGAGTTTCTGTGATCGGATTCTGGAGCCTTTCATGACAAATTAGTAACCCATACTGTTATTGACACCAGTGTCATTTGCCTACGCACCATTAACATAATCATGACGTGATACAACGGTGTTGCTTGTTTCATATACTCATGCAAGACCAATGACCTGCGAGTTTTCCTCTTCAGTGCAACTGAAGTTTTACTGTGTTCTTGGCCTTGAGAGATGTTGTTTATTGAAGAAGCCTATGCTTGCTTAAAACTCTGCAGCACTAATGGAACATGTTAGGCCATTCAAACATCCTGGAAACTGAATGCCGGTGGTTGCAGATATAGGGGCAAGTAAGTAATAGGTGTAACTTTCCGTTCTAATATGCATTCGCCGGTCTTTATGAACTATACTGATTAAGGGTTGTCATAACGTACTCAATTCATTGTGTCACACCTTTCACATCGGGTGTGCGAGTCATTGTTGGAATTGAAATTTACAACGGTGGTGGAATACTTGGCAAATTTAACCAACTAAACCATGCGCAATCAGTTAGCTGTAAGCACAAGTAGCACTAATCCAACCAGAATTATGTAGCTTTTAGGTGTTTGGTAGCTAGACTGTGGCAAAATCAACCCTACTCGAGACGAAACCATGCGTTGCTTCTGTCCCTATCGTTATATGAACATGAATCGCAGACACGATAGCTTTACGGGTCGAAACACTCACACCGTCCGGGGTAAATGCCCCGAGACCGAGGCGAAATGTATGTGTGGTAGTGTGGTGTCCATCCCGCGCTTCGTGGCTCATCGCGCCGGTGACACCTTCCATCATTTGTCCATATCCGTTGGTAGCTGTTTACTATTCCGCTTCAGGATATTGCTCGCTTTTCCGTGAATGGTGCCCGCAAATTGACAAGCATCTGTAATCCCTGATGACATACTCATTTCCTTAAATGTCTCAGGCATCCTATGCTTTGTTGCGATGCATTCGCGTTTTGACATGATATTTAGGTGCACCATTTCAACAGCTCGATGCTCACAAGACTTTTATAATTCGTGGAATAAAACATAGTAATGACATATAGCTTTTCGTAAATTGTCAACACCAAACTCTTTTATTGGGTGTCACCATAATGTTATTGCATGGGTTATGATTTAATTCCAAGATAAATTCTCACCCAGATTCCCCTTAACACGCGCTCGGGTGGGGATCAAATTACCCCCCCCCCCCACACAGCGAAGTTTTTTTCAGGAAGGACGCGGCGCGGCCGCGCCGAACTTTGCTTAGCTGTATATAATTTAGTAGCGGGTCTTTTTATCTAAGAAATAGATGCGCCTTGACAGGCCACTGACCTGTCAGGTCAAAGTCAGGCTATAGCCCTCAGCAAAAGACATTTCTAGGGAATCGTTCAACGTGATGAAACAACGGAGTGCTAGCAATCCCAGTGATCTAGGTTCTGGCATGAAGGTCAGAACAAGGTTAAAGCTAACCTGCATTTTTAATCAGGAGCTTGGGTTTGTGAGGTAGTGTTTGGCGCTCAATTCGAATGTGTTAATAACAGGGACCGAAACAGACTTGTTCCATGGATCTTTGAAAGGTCAGAGTAGGCCACTTGCCTAAAATGACCCAGATCAACAGTTTTTTTGTTAGGAACACACCGCCTGGCGTAATCTCTGACACTTATTCAAATGGCAAAATAGGAGCAATTTCGTAGGTATTTGGTCATATTGACCTCACAAAGGCCAAACAAGATCAATGACCTGATTGAACTTCTGCCTAGAGCAGGCATTTAGCTTCACGACGGTTGCATGAGGAGTCCTAGGGGCAGTTGAGAAACCAATCTGGAGTTTGACATTGTCTGACGTTTTTTGACCTCAAGGTCATCTAGGAGCCTCATATTTTGACACAAGTGAGACCACGTATAGGGGAAGCTACCCTGCGAATTTGGCGTCTAGTTAAGTCAGTTTTTTATATGTGAACGGGTCAATTGACCCTCACCCGAGAGAAAGGTATATAGTCAGCCGGCCGCCCGGGCGCGTGCTTAGGAAACACAATCCTTGATGCCGTTCCTCGAGCCAGGCGTAAATAGTTTGATCTAAGAGCGCTTTTCCTGAAATGCTACTAACGCAGCACTAATGACCGGATGTATATAATGTGAAAAATTGCTTTCGTTGATTAAAAATTATATTGACACCCAGATTTTCGAGTTCTTTCAACATACATCTTCGTAGTTTTGGGCCCAAGTGGCAACGCACAAGAAATAATTTGAGCCTCTTTAACACATATTCACTCACCCGTAATAATGGAATTTGCCAGACAACTGCGTTCTCAGCCTCTCTTTATTTTCCTCCCACCCATCCTTTTGCACGGAAAGAATATATTTCATATCTGCTTCAGTTGCACATCTGGCACAATGCACGCCACACCAATATGCTCGACCACTGTCCTTATTTTAAACGAAGTAACTGTAAGCACTGGCTCAGTTAAATCCTTAATAAAAAGAAATGCCTGCCACTGGCTTCCTATCACTGCTAATTCCCATTACAGTCTGCCTGTCACAGCCCTCCAACGCGCGCCTACCCGACCCCTTCCCCCGAAATGGTCCACTAATGAAGGATCTGCATCGCGCCACGCGCCGGGTTCATGGTCAGACAGATTGCGCCAAAGAAGGAAAGAGGTGCACGTCAGGGGGTGGTGAAGAGATACCGAGAGAGAAGAGCAGACTGGCTGATCAGTTGTTCTGCTCTTCGACTTACATTTTGAAGTCTTGAGGTGTTGCCTGCAGAGCACCGGTCGCCGCTGTCCACCGAGCGTCTACAGGACTGCGCTGGCGAGGGCACTCACCGAGCTTGTTCCATCCACACATGCTACGGTCCCGTTATCCCGTCCCGGTCTCAAGCAGACATGCCGCTGGTTCCCCCAGACATGCTGGTTTTGTTCTCCTCTGTAGGGGCCGCCCGTGGATCTGCCTGCCGCCGGCCGCCTCTCCGTGGCTCTTCCCATTTTCTAACATCGGCTCCGAAAAGCCGAACTCGCCCCCGGCGTTTTCGTCAGCCGTGCATGTCGACGCTATGACCGACAGCTGGCGCCACGCTCCCCGGACCATCGACCTTTCGGCCTTCAGCCAGGTATTCGGCCCGTAACCAGGTACTTCCCGGGTCCGCTGGACGCTAACTCCACGAGGGCAAAGGCAGGTACTGAAGTACCGGCTTTAGCCAGACATTGAAATGCTTATGTGCCTCAGTTGTGCCGTGGTGACTGCTCTCCAAGAATTCGAACCAGTAATCGTCCTGTTTTTTTTTGGTTTTTTTTTCTTCGCAACGGCTGTCGTTGAACCTTTACGATCGCTGGCTTGTGAGCTTCGATTTCGAACGTCGGC